TACGATACGCGCGCGTTACACATCGTGGTGGGAGAGACACACAATGTAGATACACAAAGACCAGAAATTAACGATTTCTTTCTTCTTTTAAATTGTTTCTTTTTGTTTCGTTTGTCTTTTGCATAATGTACGTTTAAAAATCTTAGGATATTTTTTAAAAATATTAAAAAAAAAACTTTTTTAATTAGAAGTTAATAAGATATTAATATTTGAATGTAATATATAGTGTAATACATACCATATATGTAAAATTATTAAAAATATATTTAAATTTATTTTCTTGTTTTTAAGTATTTTGTTTCAGTATAATTTTTTGCAATTTGATTTGATAAATTATATAATATTTTCGAAGCTTTATCCATATCCTTCTTTTTCCAAATATTTTCTCGTATAAAATATTTTATCGTATAAAATATACAATTTTAGAAAAAAAAATTATTTTTAAAATATATGCGATTTATAAATATTCAAGATTGATAATTGGAGAATTAATTATTGTCAATTTTACTTCAATTTTTTCTTCTAAGATTTTTAAACGTATATATACGTATAGTAGAATTCCATTTATCTGAACTCATCAAAGAATAAACAGTTCAGTATAATTGGAATCTACGTAACATTGTTTCGCATTGTTCAAATAGTTCACTTTCAGAAGACAAATATATCGAATCGTAAAGAATAAATTAATCGAATCGCAAAATTTCGTTCCAATAAATCAATTGAAGATAAAATTCTACAATATATTCACACGGTTTTATATAATCTATTCACGGATGGTTGCGCGCGCATATATGGATATGCATACGCATGGTTTGAATCATTCAGAAAACAAAAGAAAAAAGGAGAAAGATAACGAGACACAAACACAAACAAAGGAACGATATACATATACATATACATTGAATTAAAACTGAACATCCAACCTTCTGTTCTACAAGAGACAGTCACAAGTCCATTTAAAAAAGACGAAAGCGTTTGGTCGTAACACAACTCTCCACGGTTATAATAAATGAACAGCTAAATGATCATCAATGGTCAAAAGTACAAGTAAACGATATAATGGCGTTTGTATATTGTACAATTACGCGAATCGTGCGCGTGTCGACACGTCGCGCCAAAGAAAATGGCGCGCGCGCGTGAACGCGCGCGATCGCGCACAAGTGTGGCAACAGCGTTACTAATCAACGAAATTAACGAACACATAGTAACCAAGGTGGAAAACAAAATAGGAAACAACGCAACGACAAACTGAACAAATTGAAGGGAGCAGAATGTGGGAGAAAACGCAAAAAAAGTGGGTGGGAGGATGGAAGAGAAGAAAGAAGAAAATAAAGGTGACGAGGTTATGGTTACCAAGGAGGACGATCGATCATCAATCGGGATTGAACGTTCTTCAGGACGTTCAGATTTTTTAAACGCTTGTTTGGATATAGATCGTAAGAATGAAAGAACGGAGGAAACCGAAAAATTGAACAAAATAAACAAAGAACATATGGAAAAAAAACTAGAAAAAAGAAAAAGAAGAGAACAAAGGAGGAATATGATAAACCGACGGAGCCAAATATGGAACGGAAGAAATATTGAAAAAACGTAGAGAAAAAATTAAAAAACGGAACGAAAAATGGAGGATAGAGAGAGGGAGAGAAAGAGAAACAGAGAGATAGGGTGTGAGAGAGAAAGAGAGAGAAAAAGAGAGAGAGAGAGAGAGAGAGAGAAAGAGAGAGAGAAAGAGAAAGAGCGAGAGACAGAGAACGTAAAAGAAATGCCAGCTGCCGAGTTAAATAATCATCAAGCGGCGAAAAAGCCAGGCTCTAAGCAACGAGAAGCAAGCCACCTTTTCCTCTCGCTATATAATTTCTTTTTTTTTTTTTATTTTTTATATTTCTTTTATTAATTTTTTTTTTTTTTTTTACTGTGATTTTTTTTGTTTCTTTACTCCTACTTGCAGCCACACAACAGATAGCCAGCCAGTATATCACAAAGGGGTGCAGTTTTTTCTTGGCTGAGAAGCAACAGAGGATCGAGGAGCTGTAGGACAGAGAGGAGGCGAGAATTGTTGAAGATTTGTTCGTAGAGTAGCGGCAGGGGTAGCGAGCTCTCTACTCTCATACAATGCACCCTAATTATTATTCTGTTTTCTTATTTGATTCGTTTTATTTCCGTGTTTTTTTTTTCCTTGTTATTCGTCTAGGATAAAAAAGAACAGCGATGCTAGGTGGCGGGGGGCACCGGGGGAGGGGGATGGTTCTCTTCGGGGGTAGATTTTTACGCTACTTGGTTATTAGATTTCAATCGTATTATAAAACACGTTGAATATCGAATCTTTTCACATATATGAACGGTTTGGACAAATGTCTTTTCAAAAATGTTCGTATTCTTCGAAAAAGAATGGTTTTGGAAAATCGAAATTGAAATTAAACGTAATTTAACGTGATCTTTTTTTCTAAAGGGATACGAATGAAGTAATTTTAACATTTTGCTGTCTTCTTTCTTGGGAAATTTAAATTATAAATGGGAAGATACTTACAGGAAGTAGGAATTTGATTAGTTCACAGTAGAACGAGATTTACTGGAAGAATCCTTAATTCGTTCTCGTACTGGTTTGCGTACTAGATTCATTAAAATAAATATAAATATTCAATTGGCGGTACATTTGCAAAGGATATTTCTCTAATTCTAATTATTTAGTATATAATCACTAAGGAATGAGGAATGATTTACTGAAAAAATTCTTAATTAATCTCGTACCAATTTTAATTTTACCTACACGTAAATCACTTCATTTCTCTATATCTGAAAAAAAAAGTTCTAATTATACAAATCGAGAATTCAATGTTAACTTACTCCAAGCAGAAAATGACAATCTTTCCTTCTACCTTCTACTTCTACCACTACGTTTTATTTATCATCTACATTCTCTTCAAATTCATCAGACTTCATAACTCTCAGACCAATTAACTCTCTCCAATCAAAATTTTGTCTAATTTAACGAAACGAAAAGTTGTCAGACATTTGGTTGCTGGATCTAAACCTAACAAAAGAACGAAGTCTTACATTCTGTCAAAACAAGTTCGAAACAGTTCGAAACAGTTCAGGACCCCGTCTAGAGACGTTCATCGTATCCCCCGGATCCCCAACGTCCCCCCAAAATATATCCAAAAGCAATTCGAGCAAGGAGAGTCTCGGAACCCGGGGCAGAGAGTGTCCACCGCTAACAGCAGGGCAACACAGTGTGTGCGATTTGCAACAAAGCGACAGAGAAGGGACGCCCAATCAACGTGCGCTCGTTTCCAAAGGATCGTGCACACCGTCTAGCGATCAAAAAAGCGTTTCAACAGATAGTGCATTGGACAGTGGGTTTGGTTATAATAATGAAACAAGATGGCGACCGTTTGTTTTTCTGGCTCGTCGGATCGATCGTTCCATGGAATTAGAAGGATCATCATTATCTTCATCAATCATTATCACCATCATCATCATCACTATCATCATCATCATCATCATCATCATCATCATCATCATCATCATTATCATCATCATCATCATAATCATCATCATCATTGGAGAGCGCTGAGAAAGTTCTAATGGATAACGATAGGGTTTGGAGGTTATGAGAGGAGATATATCATTGGAATAGAGAAAAGAGAGAGAGAGAGAGAGAGAGAGAGAGAGAGAAATATAAGTCTAACCAGGTTTGGAAGAAATAAGTTACAGCTTCTTCGTTTTTTCTGAATATCGCGGAAAATACGGAGAAGTGAAAGATTGGAAAAATATAAAATACGAATTAAATAGATTAATGGGGTAAAGAGTAATAGAGAAAGAGAGAGAGAGAGAGAAAGATTTAGAAAGAGATAGATAGAGAAAAAATAGAAAAAGAGAGAGAGAGAGAGGAGAGATTCATGAGTAGATTATTGCATCTCTACGTGGAGTCGTCTGCTTCATCACGATATTTCGAGTATTTCATGTTACAACTCGTGTTATTTCCTTTTTCTCTCTTATTTTTTGTTTTTGTTTTTAATTTCGTTTCATTTTATTATTATTACATCTTTTATCACTTTCTCGCATGGGGACAAGCAGTTCTAACTTCGACAACGAGATGACGAATCGTCTCGAAAACGAGTCAAAGGGAATCAACTTTGGCTTCTTCGAGAGCAGAAGTGTTTTTTTACTTTTTTCGTTTTATAATATATCTTTTTTCTTTTCCACAACTCGAATTTGATCGATGACGTTTCTCTAAAGTATATAATATATATAATAATGTCACACATATGTACGTACGTATATATATAATATATATATATGTATATAGATATGATGTATAAAATACACTTTGGTACTTTCTCATCGCTAGGCGGGTGCCGATGGTGAATGTATAAGAAGCATAGCCTATTGCTGCGGGTAATATGTAATGTATAATGCGGCGGAAAATAGAAGCGAATGTTTGTAATAAACCAACGAGCCAATCAGCGTACAGCTCCTGCGTCCAGCCTCCTCGTGATCGCTCTTCCTGTTCTTCGCGAGACATCGATCGAACGACACACTTTCTGACTTCCTATTTTTTTTCTTTTTCTTTCTTTTTTTTTTTATTTTCTTTCTTATCTTATGTTACTCTTCTGACGATTAAACTGTCATATCAGATATCACTTGTCTTTTAATTAATCATCATGGAAAACGTATTATCCGACATTTGGATCCGATTCAATTTTCGAATCCAATTTTCGAAAACTTTAGATGTTCAGACGAGCAGATGTTATATCAGCGAAATACAAAATCAGAAATCAGGATGATACATTAAGACTTTTACGAAAGATCCATCTTTTTATTTTCGATTTTCTGGATATTTCGAGCCGAAGGAGAACGACACAGGACGGACAGAATCGGCGTGGTTCGCTCGAGTCTCGTGAAAACGGGACCCCAAAAGTGGTCTTCGAGGCGGATTCAACGAGACGATCGCGAATCCCGAGCGGACGCGAGCTCGCGCATTCGTTAGGGCGGGTTACCTTAAAAATAAGGTCGCTTTTGCTGAAACCGGACTTCTTTTTACTCATATTGTCAGAGCTTAGGCGCCCCCTCCGCTCAGTGCGTTTTTTTTGTAGGTTCTGCAATATCTAGAAACAAAAGAAAGCGGGACATAGCAAGACGTAGTAAGAAAAGGGCCAGGTTATCAAGAGATTCGATAATAAAGAGGTGGAGAAAGAGAGAGAGAAAGAGAGAGAAAGGTATATATATATATAGATAGAGATATGGGGAGGGAAAGAGAGAGAAAGAGAAATGGAAAGATAGAGAGAAAGAGAGAAAGAGAGAGAAAGAGAGAGATTAGAAAACGAAAGAACGTAAGAAGACAAAGAAAGGAAGTAAAGAAACTTCGTCGAAATGGTAGTGATGAACGAAAGAACTGATTAATTTTCTTTCTTTTCTTGTTTTCTTTTCCTCTTTTTTTTTCTTATATGTAATCACATGTTCTTGTTGCTGTGCAATATTTAAAAACAGATAAAGATAGAGAGAGATATATATATACACATAAATATTTAAATTTAGCAGAGAAAGAGAGAGAGAGAGAGAGAGAGAGAGAGACAGAGAGAAAGAGAGAGAGAAATAGATAGATAGATTGAGAGGGAATAGAAAATAGAAGGAGCAAGATCGGTTTAAGGCGACAGGAGACGTTCGAGTTTCTTGTTCTTTATTCTTTCTTTTTCTTTTCCTTCTTTCCCCCCCTTTCTGTTTTATACTTTCGTTTTTCTTTCTTTTTATCCTTCCTTGTCTATTCCATTCTTTCCTTTCATCATTCTCAGATTCTTTCCTTCATTTGTTGTTCTCTCGTTAAACCATATTTTCTGTGCAAAAGAGCACTTTTGTTTTCGAAAAGAGAGACAGTAGAAAGACGATGTTCCTAAAAAAAAAGACACGTAACATCTCCATTTTCACTTAATTTCGATTCGAATTTGCGCGCCAATCGTGATCCATATCGATTGACGAGAACAACGAGCGCATTCTTTTATTTATTTTTTTTTTTTCCAATTTTATTCATCAGAACTATGACACTATATAGATTCTATATAGATTCGTCAAGGTATAATAGATTTTTCTCGGTTGTTGCGTGTACGCATCATTCCATCCGGTTTCGTGAATGGTATCGAGATTATACACGTGGAGCGGATAAAACAAATTTCTGATCGTCCATCCTCTTCTCATACGCTGATTCATCGTGTAATATCGTCGATTAGAAAAGGGGGAGGAGATAAATAAATAAATAAATAATCGTGTTATAATTAGAACGTGGGTGTTTTTGTGTTCATTCGTTCGTTCGTTCGTTTATATATTGTATTCTGGCATGTGTCCTTTATTTCTTTTTATTATTTATATTTTTAATACATTTGTATATTTTTCCATTTTTTAAATTTTTTGTTTATTGTGATCGGTGGTACATGTATTATATACCGTATATCTGGAGTGCAAGACGCGATAATGGATTGGCGCATAAATGTGAATCAAAAAGTATGGTGTGGAGAATAAATGATGCACAAATTGACCGTAAACAGCACATAATAGTAATAATAATAATAATAATAATAATAATAATAATAATAATGAAAATAATAGTAACAAGAATGATAATAATAAGAATAAGAATAAATATGTAATGATAGTAGATAAGAAGATAAAATTTAATGATAACATGAGTTAAAGAGAAGTAAGAACCAAGAAGCCATTCGTTAGTATCAAAGCTTTCGTTGCAGCAATCGCGCCAAGCGTGAAGCCGCAGTTTCTTATCAAAGCTCGTAATAAAAGGCTCGAGAAATTGATTTTTATTTTCTTTTCTTTTTTTTTTTTTTTCCTTTTTTTTCATTTTATTTTTCTTAGCGAGTTAATAGCGATGATGTATAAAATCAAGAAGAGTTTAAGTTCAATCGGGAGATCGTTTTTGCGACGAAGCAAGAATATCGATGTTTTTTTAATATCTTTTCCTTTTTTTTTCGTCTCATCGATCGTGGATCAACTTCATTTTTAATAAAAGGTGTTTCAATAATAATAAAAAAAAAAAAAATAAAGTAAAAATTCGGTGGATAATGCTGAGAAAATAAAAAAGTGTATAAATATCGATACCTCCTGCTACAGGGAATAAAGGGATCTAGTAAAAGGTGGAAGGATAATAAAAATTCAAACTAGTTGAGGCTTGTGTTCAAGTTCATCTCTTCTCGAATAAATTTCTGAATTTTTCTCTTCCTCGATCGATAATTGAATTCCATCTCATCGTCAAATGTTTGTAAATAGAAAATATATATAATGGTAAATAAAAAATCGATTATTAATTGATCAAATTGAACATGAATTGTCATTCCACGATCAATTAAATTCAAATCATATTTATTTTCTTGTATATACGTATATGATTCAGTTTTACATTTGTGCATTGTACAGAGTGTTATCAAAGTTTTCGTGACTGATGATGTTTCTCGCGACGACACCGTGAAAAATAAAAAAAAATCAGGACGCAGAAGAAACGTGTGTAAAATCATAAGAAAGAAAAGAATCGTAAAATATGATAAAATAAGAAACGAAGAAAAATTAAACGATATCGATATCCAATGATCGATTATTATTAGATCTGATGAGATCTGTTCTTGTTTCTTCGCCCCTATTAACCACGTTTGTTTGAATAGACGGATTTAAATCGTTTGCAAAAAATTGCAGAAACAATGCTCGTTGTGTTCCTTCGTCAGATTGTGTCTGGACGAAATGAAAATGAACGAATGGAAGGAGAGTTTCGCGAATCTCTCGCAATTTATCACTCCTCTGCGACAGCTATGATTAATCGCTCTCTAAGATCCATTTCGGTCAGGGTTTTCGAGGTGGCGCTTCGAGTGGTCGAAAATTCGTTATACCACGATCGGTGGTGACCTCTCGGGGATCGAGTCTGAACCGATATTCACAAAGATATTCACAAAGGGAAAACCGGGATATTTTTCGAGTATCAATCTCGATGAAATGGATATCGAAGGAAAATGTAGCTGGTTCTTTAATTATTTCACACTGAAATATTATTATCTGAAATAAAAAAAGTTTCGCAATTTTTCATTCAATTTTCGGAAATTTTCCGATTCTTCAAAAGGATTGTTTATTACTTTTTTCAAGCAAAGTTTTTTCGCAAAGATGCGAAATTAACGAGATATTCCATGTACAATGAAGGAGAATCACGTCCGATTTGAACGATTCATTTATCATCTATTCTACTACGTTCTCACAACAGAAAATTCGATAAAACAACGAGGGATCTATCATGATAAAAAAAAGGGACCTACCATGATAAAATTCACATTGATATATCGATAATAAATAAAGTTTATCAAGTGAGAAAACAACAGATTTGTAACAAGAACAAACAAATTGGGACAAATTGAACAATTGGGTGTTAGAATGAAATACACAAATCATAGGGATCGATCGATTGGAATAGTCACGTTCATCGATTAACAACAGTCACTAAATCAATTACCAAAATTAAAATAATGATTATCATCGACCGTCAGATTGTGATCACTGAATGATAATTATGATATTTTAAATAATATTTCGTTTATTAAAATTTAAAACCAGTTGAACATTTGATCAATAGCGATTAACAATGATTATTGATCGATGGCCACAATGTTTATAAACATATATTTATTACATATTTATTATATAAAATATGAATATATAATGTTATTTGCAAATTATTGTATGATTCACTTCATAGATATCGAATATACCATTTCAATATTTAAAATTTGATCAATGGAGCGTGACTACATCGCATATTTTTTTCGCCGAATACTTTAGAAGAATTAGAATCGATCGAATCAATGAAAATTATACTACTGGGAAACTGATTCGATGACGTCGTGTCTGTTCACTGTTTTCTTTTCCACTTAAAAAACAGAACACAACGTTTTCAATGGGAGGAAGGCCAACGAAATTCAAACAATTCGAGTAGGATACCAAAATGGACGACGAGGGAACCAAGGAATATAAAATACGTTTGAAACGTTTGAAATAAATCAGGCATCTAAAACGACACAAAAACAGCAAGCAAAACGCAAACGGGGGGAGAACGAGAAGATGGATCAAAGAGAAAAAAAAATTCGTCTGGATATCAAAGAGGGATAATAGGTTGACTGACTCTTAGGAAAATGTACGTATGTATGCGTATACGTGATGAGGGGAGAAGGGGAAGGAAAGGGGGGAATAAAACGTAGGAACACACACTGAACACGGGCACATTGCCAAAAAATGTCGAGCAAATAGGGTTAATATACACCTAACACTCACAGGCAGACCTACGGTCAATCCAACCAACTTTCTCGTCTGTAGAGCAGCCATGTGGATAGCGCGTCGTGTCGAATACCTCAGATATCATTTCCCTATTGTCCCCCGGTCCTTTTGTTTGTTTTGTTGAGGTTGATTTGAAATTTTTCTTTCACTTTTCGTTTCATTATTATCCTTTAGCTCTTTTTTTCTCCTTTTCACCATTTTTTCTCTCTCTCTTTTTTTTCGGAAGAAATTTTTTCCTAATTTCTAATTTCCCTAATTCACTAATAAAGTCGAAGAGGATCCTTCATTCCTAATCATCATCGCGTCTATTGAGTTCTTATGACTTATTAGTATAATATAAGTACGTGTATCATCATATTCTTGGCGTACCATGCGCAGTCAGACCTCTGTTATCACAATTATACGTGCACACGTCTCTCTCTCTTTTCCTCTCTCTCCCTCTCTTTTTTGCTCATTGCGTCGAAGTTTGTGCAAAACTCGTTCCCGCAACGAAACATTTAATGAACATATCGATCCATACGATTGATGTACATGCACATCTTGTGTCGTGTAATTTCGAGGGTTATGCAATTGGAACGAAGAGACGTGGCGATGATTAAGGATGAAGAATATTAATATCGTCGGAATAATTAGTTGAAATTTCTTCGTCTGAAAGCATTCCTTTCGTTCAAGATTCCCGGTATTCGACACGACTCTGTGACTATATAATAAAAAAAATGAAACGCATATTAGTACCTAACGGTTGAACGCATCTCTCCACAAAAAGACCCGATAGAAATAAAAATATACATGTCAC